TATCACGTACGACATTTTGGATAACTGGTTTTTGCAGCTTTATTTCAAGTCAAATGATGTATACAATGAGCAGTGGCAGAATGCGTGGATCATCCCTGCCTTCTGGCAAGTCTTAACTTTCTCTCTCCTTTGTGTCATCTGTGCTCTTTGGGCGCCATCTCAGAACTCAATGCGGTAAAATTTTCTGGCTCCTATACATGCTCCTCTATTAATTAGCTTGAGGTGGCCTGGCATTTAACATCCATTGCTAAACCACCGAAGAATTCAGATAAGGATCGTAATCCATTGAGATTAGATCAATTTATACCAACAAGACTGGGAGGATTGATGTATCCAGTGAGTTTTGGCCGAGTAGCATGAAGTATTGATAGTCTATCATTACACAGCAAAAAATAAATAAAAAACTGAAAGTGTCTCCATGCCTACTTTTATAAGTCAAGGATTAACGAGTTTTGTCATCACAGAACATTGCGGTATTGATAGACTAATCACTCTTCATTGTGGTTGTAACTTATAAAAATTAGTATCTTTGTCATATTAACGACACAAGATAATTTTATCAATCTGAATTACAAGTTTAACCGAGATCATCGAACAATCCTAAATGATTGTCTGTGTTGTCGTAATATGACATTCAATTCAATTCAATTCTCCCGAATATTATTCTCACTACACCGGATATTCTTATATTTGACAAGTATGCAAGTGAAGAGCTTGACAAAGGAAGTGCCCCTGATGTTGGACCATTGATTGCACGACAACAATGGGTTATTATTGAATGGTGATTTGGAGGAAAACAACATAGAGTAATTGATACTTTGAATATTTAACTGGCTTAATGAGCAGAAGTAACATGACCGATCATCGATGTTGGGATCATCTTAATCAAGTTGCCTCTGTCTTTGGATTACGGATGCATGTAAATTTTAACAGTAGAGGTTTCGTGTGTCTTCGGCGGAATGGCATCACATCCAATTTTTAACCTGCTACAGTATAATATTAAAAAAAAAAAAAGAGAGAGAAAAACTGAAACACACGTTTTAAGTGATATGAGGTGATTTTTTTTCTTTTTGATGAGGTAGAAAAATAATAATATATTAAGTGGGAAGGAAAGGAACAAAGACGACTCTTATCTACTCTTCCCGTCTCTTGCCAATTTGGACGGAGACTTGGAAGCTCATAAAGTGTTTTTATTCAATCGTTAGAAAAGTTTGGCAGCTTGTGATAGATGGGCTTAATCAAGAATCGGAAGTTTCTCCCTCAGTTCATGCTTTTTCAGAAGGGCAACCAACACAAATTAGGGGGCAAAACGAGAAAGTATTTAACATAGATTTATAGTATGATTTATTTTCAAAGTTTTAATGATTTTGGGGTCGAATATGATCAACAATAAATTTAAAGTAATTATGAAGTCAGAATCTTATAGATAAATAAATTAAATAAAATCTTAAAGAAACAACAAGATAACTAAAAATAAAAACAAAAAATCAGAGTAAGACAATAAAAATGAGAGGAAGAGAAAGAGTTGGAGAGAGGCGGTGATGGTGGAGAAAAAAATAGTAAAAAAAATTTGACAGATTGATACTTTTAAAGTTAGAAGTTGTTACTTTTAAATTTTTTTAAGAAAATTTTGTTATAATTTAGAACTTTTTTATAAAGATGGACGTAGACTTTTAAAAATATTATTACATTTTAGGGTTTTTTATAAGGTTTTAAATAGACTTGTGAAATATATTTGGCCTTTAACTTAGTTCATTTAAAAAGGTCTCAAAACATGAAACTAAACAAATGGTTAAAAATTAAATTGATCTCTAAATTTTTAAGATTCTAAGCGACTATTTTAATTGTCAGGGGCCCTAAGATCGACCCTTTTGTGCCTCCTCCTATTTAAAAGATTAAAGTATCTGTGCATCTCACAACAATTGTAGTATTGTTTGTCCTTCACTGTCGAATTTTTGTCCATGGAATTGATTAAGGGAGACAAATTGATTATTGGATGACGTGCAAGCATTAAAAATAATGTGTTATTTTATATTTTATGTATTTTTTCATTAACCGTTATAAGATACTGTCATAGAAAAGATGTTCAATATTAAAATGTGATGTTACATAATTTTTTTTTTAGTAATTTAGGCTTCTGATAAACATTACATACATGTTATTTCATACTCATGCTTTTTCCGTGCAGCTGTTCAATACTATAATCCATAGAAATTATAAATATACATAGATCATCATAACTAAATACATATTTTTTAACAAACAAATTCATTCATCTGGTTGTGTCTCTTATCTCTTGCTTGACTCGCACTTTTCGGAATATAATCTATATTGTTCTATTACTATTTTTATATTCTTCTTATTAACTTGTTTTGTATGTCCTTCATTAAAATTGTAATATTACATAATTGACTATCAATATACATTCATAATTCCTTGTTATATTGTCATTAAATTATTTTATCAAGTTCAAAAAACAAAATATTTTACTATTTTTAAATTTTGTTATATGATCCTTAACTTATTTTTGTATGTGACATTCACTTACTATTTTGTTGTGCTTTATTTTCTCTGATAACAATTTTATTGAAAGATTTTTTTTATATTAATTAGTTTTTATTATGGATTCTTTATGAGAATGAACAATTTAATTAGTTGGTATTTTGTGTTTAAATGAAAATAAAATTGAGTTTAAGAATAGTAGAAAATTTGCTTAATTTATTTTTATTTATGAAAAAGCAAAGTACTTAGTATATTTTTTTATTGAAATATTAACTTTTTTTGTTATTTAATAAATGTGTGTGTGAGGTGGACTGTACTTTTAGACATAAATTTTAAATTTTATTTTATTGACATAATTTTTTAATAATTTTTTTATTAAGTTAAATTATAATGAATTTTAATCTTTAAATGATATTTTATTATTAAACTCTTATATTTCGAGACCACGCAAGAGTAAGAGTAATGGTCGTTATCTTTGTACGAAATGATTATTTATTTTGGACTTCTGAGTCTAGTGGGTGAGAAAATTGATGGCATCCAACGGTGGGGTCCCAGGCCTAGCTCATGATTCATTGATGTCCGCAACAGAGATTGAATATTTTTCTGTCTTTTTCACTGGGTAGATCATACTTCCTTCACCCTTGTTTTTTAGGTGGGGGTAGACATCACAGGTATATCAAAAGACACAAGTATCATTGCCAATAGAAAGAAAGAAACCTGCCTAGGAAAAAACACTAGAAAATACGGCTAAATCACGCAACCTAGAGGTAAGTTTTTCATGTTCAGCTCATTCAGTTCACACTGCAGATTGCTAGAATACTAGTCTGTTTGTTAGGGATGCCGGTGGACTCGAGTGGGGGCAGAGAATGTAATTTTTATTCTCGTATCTCTTTAAAAAAATTTCGTTCATCTTCAGTCCACTTCCGTTAACGGGTATAATTTTCATCCTTATCCCTATCCTCGTTTCTGTCCCCGATTCCCCCTAAGCCCAAGCCCAAGCCCAAGCCCAAGTAACACAATCCAAAATTATAAATAAATCTAATATTTTTAATAATCCAACAACATTCTAAATAATCTAGCATAATCTAATACAACATAATATAGATTGTAAAATATAAAAGTTAAAACAATATAGTATTATATTTAAAATGTCATTTTACCCAAAAAAGAGAAACATAACTATTAAAGAAAATAAAATAAAATAAAATTGAATTAAGAAAACGAGAGCAGTACACTTGAAATTTCCTAAAAGAATTTTTGTTATTACAATTTATATTATAGTCATAAAGTGTTAAAATATAAAAACTTAAAATTTCGCAAATTCAATAATTCTCCCTATTTCTTAGTTCACTCTAACAGATACTCATCAATCTACATTCACAATATTTCTACCCACAATGAAATGCAAAATTATCTTATTCTCTCTTATCGGCTTTTAGAACATGGTCAATCCAAACTTCTAACAGTTTCAATCAGTGAGCACAAATAAAAAAAAGAACAATTAAAAAAAAAGTTGATAAGACTACCACATAACAATGTCACTTGTTAGTTTGATTATCCATGTTTCTAGATTGATAGTTATAATAAATATATTTAGTTAGGGTTTGGGAGTATATATATATATATAGCGGAGGCAGGGCGGGGCAGGGGTCTTTATTCCTAGATTTATACGGGTATTCCTTATGTCCATCGTCCAATACGTATAATCTGATCCAAATAGGACGGATTTGGACGAATAACCACTTTTCTCTGATTTACTGCGATCCCTACTGTCTGCTGTATCTTTTTATTCGGATTTTGGGATTCTATTCTTCACGGAAACCGGTAAACGCAAGCACTCAGCATCCAGAGATGTGTGAATGAAAAACAATGTTAACAGTTTCATTTCCTGGCATGAAAAGGTCGACCCATCCCATGTAATTAAGGAGTGCAATACTTGCATACTATACCCAAACTCAAGAAATTGGAGCCCTTTATAACTGCCAACAAGGCTGAAACCAAAAACAAAATAGGAATGGATATCACTAGAAAAACTGCAACACTAATGAGTTTCAGTGTGTGGTCCTGGCACTACTCAAGATAATACAAATCTCAAGTTACAATTTCCAGTTCTTGTTACACTAATAATGGAGGAATAAGAGTCATAAAATACAAAAACCAAAACTGAAATTGAAATTATAGCAGGTAAGATGCGATAGTACATAAAATTAGCTAATTTTGTGTAGAGAACTCCAAAATGCAGCCCCGAAATGCCAGAAATTTTAGTGGTGTAGAGTAATCCAAGTATCTTTTGTAAATACTAGCGCTAAATGATTATTGTTGGTTTGTCATCACAATATTTTTGCACTATAGTACCTCACAAATTTGCTTTGTGTGGCACTTCCCATTGCAGGAGCTGTTGTCAGATGCATTGTTTCTGTAATTGGAACATCCAAAGTACAATATTTCCTTAATTTGCGAGAATCATCAAACTTATTTAGACTGTTTTTTGAGCTAAAACTCATAATTTCATGTAAATATCATAGTAAGCACATACAACAATTCCCCTATGAACAAATGAAACAAAACCTAAAGACAGTGACAAAATCAGACAACTAAATGGTTCCAGGGCAGAAGCATTCATGCAGGACCTTGGCTATTCTTAAGAGCTAAAACTGAACTTCCCACTTACTTGATCTCTTCAGCTGTCCCGAAGGTCACCCTCCTCAAGAACTAAGAGAGCTTAGGAAAACCCAGAATAATCAGAACCACTCAACCCAAATAAACGAATAAAACAATTAAAGAATAGTGTCCTAGACTCTAACATGCATAATTCAGAACCATTCCTTCAGTGAGATCGCCTCCTCAACTGCTGAGACACCGGGTATCCCTCAAAGAAATCCAATATGGCAGACTCAAGATCCTCAACAGAGTACTTGATGTAATTCTCTGGGTGCTTCCCACTCTCCAGATGACTCCTGAAACGGCCTAGAAATGACCTATAAGCTGGGATCAACAACTCCGATATGAATATACGAAGCTCCTCCCGAACCTGTGCGTCAGGTACCAACCATGTTGCCTGAGTCCTGTGAACCTCCTCGAACATATGATTGAAAGTCTTAAACCTCCCTCTCAAGACGTTCTTGGACACCCCAGATGAAAAACCCCCATTCACATGCAACCCCTCCTCCCTCAAACAATACAAGACCCTCACCCAAGTTACTCTCTGGTAATTAGTTGCTGCATGCCTATATTTCCCTGTTAGCCTCCTCAAATAATCATCACATATCATCTCCCTCAGCTCCAGAGACCCTTTGATCTTCTGAACAATATAATGAACATTGTTCATCATAAACAGATGAGCCAAAGAAGCATCTTTATAGTGCTCGGACTTCCCCTCCAAATTGAATTGTAAAATCACAATAATCCAAATCAAATGATGAGCCAACGGAGTTTGCCCTTCCAGTTCCGCCAAATCAACGTCCGGCATATTAGGATCACCGGTATACCTCGACCCCGTTGATGGCTTGGATACAATCAATTCCATTAATGTCTGGCTATAATCCGATATCAGACTTATATAATTCATAACATACCGAGTCAAGGGATGAATTGTACCTCCGGGCACAGGAATCCTCGACGGCTCGCGAAGCACAGCGTTCTCAAATTCAGACAATGTTCCTCTCACCACTTCGGCCAACCGGGACAATATTTCCGCTCCCTGAACCCTAATGGATTCCGATTGCTTTGACTGAAAGACAACCTTAATATCAGGTAACAAGTCCGACAAAGCGTCGTGAACGTCCAAAATCTTGAACAATTTCTCCGGTGATCTCCGACTAGTACTAATTGCTTCGGCGAAATTAAGCAGCTGAATTGATGGTCCTTCAACAGTTTCCATAAAACAAGCATCTTCTGTAGAAATTCCTAAACCTTCAAATATTTGCTTACAGAGTTTTTTCTCACTAGGAAAGAGAATTCGAACACAGATCTTCGCTGCTCGAATCCACCGTTTGATCTTGGTCTCCAGAGCTTCCCACTCAAGCTTCTGAACATCACCAATGCTCAAATTTTCGATTCCTAGTACCCGGAAGCTCGCGTCCACTACTGACTTTCTTATGCTGCCGTAGACCTGAATACATTCCCGGAGATGTCCAGCGGAGATCATTCTCTCCGCGATGCTTCGGAGATCGTAGATAGCTTCGGAAGGTATCAGATCGATTTCGCGAATACTATTCATGGATCGATAGCTGGCGCTACTACTATTGTTCTGTTGATGTTCCAGCTCTTTGCTCATATCATCATAGTGGTCTGCAAAGACCTGGTCTTGTAAATCATTCGAATTAGAGTGGATCGAAGAGTTCTGGTTGATGAGAGAGTCAGTGAGGATTGGAGTGGTGTGAGCAATCAAAATATTGCGAAACTCGCCCTCCAGCCGAGCCATAGCAATCTGAATCGCAGAGTTGGCTTTCCTCTGGTCGTCGGAAACGGTTGCCGATCCCATCAACTGTTGGATTTCATCCACTGCTTGCAAATACCGGTCGATCTCGCAACGATCACCGTCGAATATCATTTCCACCCTGGCTTCCTCCGACGCCGTCGAGTCCCATCGGAGGATTATCTCCTCTGCTAATTCGTTTCCTGGAGGTTCCATCACCATAGGATTGAAGTTGAAAATTCAGAAAAGGTGACAGTGATGAATTGAATTAGTCTTGAATTATAGTTATATATATCTTTGCCGTAAATGGTTAGAGGTTTGTTTTCTTTTTGGTCTTCAATTCAAAGTCAGCTCAGCTGTTTATTTTTGTCTGAATGAAGTCCTGGGAGGGAGGAGGCCCATTGTTTGGTTTGGAATAAAAAAGTTTAAAAGATAGAAGACGTAAATATTTGACTCAGAAATTTTAAAATGATTAAATTTTAAAGGGTTAATTTCCCTCTGAAAAATCGTTTCAATATTAATATTTGTATCCTCAAAAATTAAAACTCACAATTTGTACTATCAAAGATAAAAATTTATATCATACCAAATGCTATCAGTTTGTTATCTAAAATTAAATGGATAAATTATATTTATCATTTAATCACTTAAACCCTTCACGTTTAAAATATTATACATATATCTCTTAAGAATTCAAATATAATTAAAATATTTTCTCAATTGGACATTCAAATAATTCTATTTAAGTGATATATTGTATTGGATATAAAGACCATTATATAAATACATATATTATATTAGTTATTTAAATAGTAAGCTTGATTTTAAACTTTAGAGTATAACGAGCGTATAAAATAAAAATTACAATTTTTTATTAGAATAAAATTATGTTTTTTAACGGCTATATTAACAGATATTAACGACAAGAGATTATGTGTTATACATGCACAAATGTCAAGAGGTGTAGGAGTAATATTCTAAATGTGAGGGGTCTAAATGATTAAATGGCAAACTTGAAGGGGACTAGGTGTAACTTACTCAACTAATTTTAGATAGTAAACTTACTTTAGGTGCACATTAATACAAATTTATATTTTTGAGGATACAAATTGAGATTCGAACAATTTTTTGGGGTACAATTTGCGATTAAGCCAAATTTAAATTAAATATGTAATAGTCCAAATAAAATAACAAAATAACTCAACCTTAAGTTATTTGAATGTTCGATAAAATGTTTGAGTGAATCGAATGAGCAAAAATAGAGCTTAAGTGACCCAACCTTATTTGAATTGAATGTGGTATGAAATAAATTGGATTAGTTTGAATCAAAGAAATAAAATATTAAAAAATTCGGATATGATGTATATTAAACAGCTTTGACACCCATTAGTAAGAGCATAATTTTTTGTAAAAACCTTAGATTGACTCACCATCAATTTTGTTGAAAACTAGGCTCAAACACCTTTCTAACATTATATGATAGAACATCATATTATTCACGCGTAAATTCAATTTTTAGTTTAAAGATAACTAAAAAATAGTCCACTTATCAAATTTGATAACTTGTTGAAAAATAATTGGAACATGTTCTCACGTTTTGAGCTAATGATCTATCATTAGAAACCTTAAGAATTTTTTTTTCTAATTCATTTGGTTTCATGTTAAGTTATTTGAAGTTGAATCTCATTGTGTATGGTTATTTGATATATGTTAGGTGTAGAATATATTATACTGATTCCACCTAGGGATAGAGTATGAAGCTGAGTGATGAGTTGATTGGCTATGACAGGTAAAATATACTGCTTCATAATAATTAGAAATAAAAATATGTGACTAATATGAGTTATTTTCACTGTGTAATGAAGTTTTGATGACTTGATTTTTGTTGAGTTGAGGAAATAATGAACCAAATATGTATTTTTGAAAAACTTGTGAATTATTAAAAATTAGTGATTTAAGTAGTATTCACTATGTTAGAGTTGTTGTATAGCTTGACTTGACTTATATGTTGTTGATTTAGACATTATGTAGTTGTCATGAGATACCTTGACATTAATTAAATATTATTGATAGTTTGACATTGCTTAAATTTTGTTGTTGACTAATAGCACATGTAGACTACTGTCACACCCTAACTGACTTGGGTGCAAATGGCTAGTCTTGGTGGCACCTTGCACCAAGGCACGCCATGAGTTGGAAACAAGGTGACGTGGCTAAGTGGTTCAACAGATTGGTGCGGACCAAGGCAGCATAAGACCTTCCGGCTGAGCATGATAGCACGTGGTGGGCTTAATTGAGGCAATGTGGGTGCATAGCTTCGGATTACATGGCATGGGCTGAACCCAACATACACATTGGTTCGTGAAGCAAGGCTGGCTACTAAATGACTAGCACATGACTGCTCAATGCATGTGACCAGGAGGATGTGTGCAGTTGCAAATGCTGAGACTCAATTAAGGCAGTTGTTGAACATGGCCTAGTATGTGGAAAGTAGTTCTGGGCGTCCCTAGTCTTAATATGGTCCAGATGCATGCTGATGAGGGATAGTTCCACATCAGTTACTGAAGGAGTGGAACTATCTGCCAAGTGTCGCACAGAGATAAAGTCTGCTAGCCAAGTTTGCTATAAAATAGCAGAATGTGTGTAACTACCCTTTGGTAGGTAAGGGTGTCATCTGCCATATTCTTTGCATAAATAAGGGTGTTTGGGCATTCTGATAGTCAGAGAGTGTGTTATGGCTTTGAGAGTTCTTTGTAAATTGTTGAGTTCAATATATAAGGTTTGGGAATGTTGTCCCAGTAAATTTGTGTGTGCCTTCTGTGTGAGTTTCTGTCCCTTATTTTTGAGTTTATGTGGTTGGTTGTAGTAGCAACGCCTTCATAGGTAGCCTCGAAATGAAAAATGAGTTGTTACCCCATGACAATTTGATATCAAAGCGTTGATTTTGGCAAAAAGATCAACTATGGCTGGCGGAACGAATGCATATCTGAGGGAAAGGATGACACGTTTGGAGGAGTTGGTTGGTCCTCCACAGTCTGGTGATGTTGTTGCCCTTTCTGTACAACTTGAGTTGCTGTATTAGTGGTTCGAAGAGATGCGTGTAAGAATGTTGCACAAGAACAGTATCAAAAGACTGAATCTGATCACTTTAGTCAAGTGAAAAACAAAGTCATTGATGTGCTGGCTACGGTCTCCACATAGACCGATGATATAAGGAAAAAATTGAGTTCCCTAGAGACGGACATTTCAGTGCTCAAGAAGGCACTGCAGAATGTTTCTTTGGCTTCTAGCAATGAAAGCACTCAAAAAGCTAAGGTGTCTGACCCTAAGCCTTTCGTAGGCAATCGTAACGCTAAAGAACTCGAGAACTTTCTGTGGGATATGGGGCACTACTTTAAAGCAATCCGTACACCGGATGCTAAGAAGGTAGATCTCACTCGCATGTACCTGTCTGGTGATGCTAAATTATAGTGGCAAACATGATCTGAGGACAAGTTTTCTCCTTCAATTACTACTTGGGAGTCTCTGTCCACTAAAATGAAGCAGCAATTCCTTCCGAGCAACACGGTTTGGCAAGCCCATGATGCATTGAGGAAACTTCGACATACGTGTACCGTGAGGAAGCACGTGAAGCAATTCTCTGATGCTTGATATCAAAAACATGTCGGAGGAAGATAAGCTGTTCAATTTCATGTCTGGCCTTCAAACTTGGGCGCAGGCTAAATTTTGTCAGCAAGGGGTGAAAGACTTACTCGCTGTTATGTCTGCAGCAGATGCGTTGGTTGACTACAAGACGCAGGCGAATCTTCCGGAGAAGGAATCAAAAGGGAAAACCAAGTTCCCTAAGAAGGACAAGCATAAGAAAAAGGTTGAGAAGTTTTGCAGCGTAGAAAAACAGACTGACAAGCCTTCTTCATCAAAAGGAGGTGCTGATTCAGGCTATTTTATTTGTAATGGCCCTTATCGTGCCAGAAATTGCCCCAAGAAAGAAAAGTTAAGTGCTCTCATAGCTGAGGAAACTGATTATTCTGGTGAACCAACACGAGTCAACCCATTATAACTCCTTAATGCAATTCGCAAAGAGGAGACAATGGCAAAGAAGGGGTTGATGTTTGTGTAGATTTGCCTGAACAATGTGGCTGTCCAGGCAATGGTTGATACAGGTGCAACCCATAATTTTGTTTCTGACCGCGAGGTGCAACGACTTGGTCTAACTTTGGTGAAAGACTCTAGCTAGATTAAGGCTGTTAATTCAGAGGCAAAACCAGTACGTTGTGTGTTACTAGAGAAATCCCTTTAAAAGTCGGTGATTAGCAAAGACTATGCAATTTTATGGTAGTCCCTCTTGATGATTTTCAGGTAATCCTTGGACTGAAATTTCTTATGAAGGCAAAGGTGTCTGTTATGCCTCATTTGCATGGGATGTTCATGATGGACATGCCTAGTCCTTATTTTTTTTTCCCTCACCAAGGCCAAATTTTTAGGAGAAATGTTGTCTGCCTTGCAAGTAAAAGACGGCTTGTGGAAAGGAGAAGCAACGTATTGGTTGTTTTGTTTGAGGAAGAGGAGTCCAAAACAGTGCACGTCCCTGAACCAGTGCAACAGTTGTTGGCTGAATTCAAGGATGTGGCACCCAAAGAATTACCAGCAAGATTACCACCAAAGCGGGAGATTGATCATGCCATTGAGTTGATTTCAGGGGCAAAAATCCCTACCCAAGCTCCTTATCAAATGTCTCCATCAGATTTGGCAGAGCTAAGGAGATAGCTTGGGGATCTATTGGACATTGGGTTCATTAGACCTTCCAAGGCACCCTATGGAGCCTCTGTTCTGTTTCAGAAAAAGAAGGATGGATTCTTACGATTTTGTGTTGATTATAGAGCCCTAAACAAAGTTACTGTCAAGAACAACTATCCAGTTCCGCTTGTTGATGAACTGTTTGATCGATTGGGGAAAGCAGACTTTTTCACTAAGTTAGACTTGCAGCTAGGATATCATCAAGTCAGAATTACAGAAAGAGATGAGGGGAAAACTACTTGTGTGATGAGGTAAGGTTCATATGAGTTCTTAGTTATACCTTTCAGCTTAACCAATGCTCCTGCCACATTCTGTAATTTGATGACCAATGTATTTTGGGAATACTTGAACCATTTTATAGTTATTTATCTGGATGATATAGTTGTTTATAGTCAGACCCTTGAGGAACATGTTGAGCACCTCAAGTTGGCTTTGACAAAGTTGAGGGAAGCACAATTGTATCTGAAACCAAAAAAATGTGAGTTTGCCAAAAGAAAATCTTATTCTTTAGGCATATTATTTCTGCGGGCGTGGTGAAGATGGACCCAAAGAAAGTTGAGGCCATTGATGATT